TGGGGAGAAACAACTTAGCTCTCCCTCAGTCCAAATGCTTATTACACAAAAGAAAATCACAGATAATGAACAAAGGCATTTATCAAAGTAAACGCTAAAACAGGAATGAGGAAGTCTTACAGATTAGTTTAGGCAATAGAATAAAGGAAGCTTTGTGGTCTAGGAGCCAGGGTGAAATCTCAGCTCACCCAGGAAAAGAATGATGTCATCTAAGTCATAGGCTCTTAGCAATCCCTGGGGATGCAGGTGAGGAAATTGAGGGAAACGTTTGGATGCCAGCAATGTCCTACATGGTTGTGGCTTCAGCGGCCTCCTGCTCACCATTCCATGTGCTCATCTTATTCCATGTTCTCATCTTATTCCACATTGTCCTATCTCCCTCTCCTCTCTCTCTCTCCCTCCCTTCCTCCCTTCTTCCCCCCTCTGTCTCCCCAAGGTGTCCCCAAGTGTTAAAGATAGTTGAAATTGCACTATATATGCTTATATATGCATACATAGATAAGTGTGTATGTATGTATGTGAATACATGTGCAATATAGGTATATAGTTGTATATGTATGCATACACACATACATGTGTATATATGCAGACATATATACGTGCCTACAAATGTATGACTACACAGTGCTAAGTCCAATTCAATCCAATAAATGTTAAGTGCCTACTGTGTGCCAGGTACTGTGTTAAGTGCCAGGGACACTCTGATGGATGAGAGGTAGAGTCTCTGCTCACAAAGAGCTTACAGCCTAGTGGGGGGAGATAACATACGAAAGGAAGTAGGTAAAGAGGAGGAAGATAGTGGGGGTCCTTGGCGAGGGAGCATCGTGGTCCACGGATATGAAATCAGGCAGAGTGGTCGATGCAGGTTGGTAGGGATACAAATATGTGCAAAAAAAGACAATCCTTGACCTCAAAGAGCTAATTGTGGGAGACAACATCAAAGAGAGCTAATAAGTGGGAGTGAAGGAGAGAGGTACCCAAATGGGGACTTGGTGGCCTATTCTGAAGAGTCAGAAATGAAGCTCAGAGAGGGGTGAAGGATAGGTCATCTGGGCTTCTCCTCAAAACTGACAAGTTCTGAGAGGAATCTGCCTATGAGAGAAAGGGCTGCAGGGGCAGGGGTATGTCCCAGGGTGAGAAGGCAGCCGAGATATGGTGGTGAAGCCTGTAGAGTGAGCATGAGAACTGGGAAAGGAATCATTCCACACCTGAACCACAGGACATCTAGAGGCAACGCTCCTCCTCCCCAAATGTTGATCCTGAAATCTGAATTCTGAGGCTACAGAGTTTAGACCAACATCATTTCTTTCCCCCTGGAACCCTTGTGAGAGTCACCTCCATGAGTCCTACCCAAGAGCCTCTGATGGGAACAGCCATTCACTGAGGAGATGCTCATGAAAGGCAAAGCTGTTGGCAGAGACATCGCATGAAACAGGCCAAATCAAAGTAAAACATCCTCAAAGGGGCATGATGGAAATTTCCAAATCCCAAATGTCAAGTTTCTATTTCCATTTTAGATCTAGAATGTGCAATTCAGAAACTGATTGGAACAATGGACTTCTGAAGTCCCTTTCAGCTGTGAAAGGTTATGCTTTGGAGGCTCCAGGCTGAATGCCATCTACCTGTGTGACCCTGGGAGAGTCACTTAATTCTTTGAGATTTCATTCCCTCATCTCTAAAATGGAGATAATAATGCCCACTTCAGAGTGCTTGGGAGCAGCAAACGAAATGGAACACTTTGAGAACTACAAAGTGCTCTAGGAAATTAAAGGATTAATAGCTTGTCTGCTCTTGAGTTGTGAGAAATCTGTATTGTGACAGGAGGCTCAGATAATAGCTGATATTGGTGTTCTTTGAACATTTTCCCCATCAGAATCCCATTTGTCTTCATTCTCAGGGGATTCTCTGAAAGAAAATATGGGCATGGGAAAAATATATATACATACATTATATAGATATGTGTATATAATATGTGTACACACATGTATATTCCATTATATATGTATATTTCTTAATCCAATTAAAGATATAAATATCTTTGACTGTAGGATGCCCCAGAGACCTGTGCTTGATGCTGACTGTTGAACATTTTTATTGATGGTTTAGATAAAGGCACAAAATATATGCTTGTCCAGTGATTTGCAGATGACATACCAGTGGGAGGGATAGCTAACACATTTAGTAACAAAGTCGTGATCTCATGATCTTATCTTTTTTTTTTTTCAAGGCAATTGGGGTTAAGTGACTTGCCCAGGGTCACATGGCTAGTAATTATCTGAGGCTGCATTTGAACCCTGGTCCTTCTGACTCCAGGGCCAGTGCTCTATCCACTGTGCCACCTAGCTGCCCCATCATGATCTCATCTTGACAGGCTAAAACATTGGACTGAATCTAATTTGTTAGAATTTAATAGGAATAAAGATAACATCTTCAACAGGTGCAAAAAGTCAAGTTCATAGCTAGAAGAGCAATAGATCAATTAATAAGCATTTATTAGTGCTTATGATTGGCCAGCATGGTATTGGGAGGATAAAAAGCTGGACTTGGAGCCAGGAGGACCTAGTCAAGTTCTGCCTTTGATACAGACTGAATGTGTGACCTTAGTCAAGGCTCTTGACCCCTCAATGATCCAGGCAACTAAGAATGAAAGTTGAAGAGAAGGTATTTCCTCAACCAGAACTTTTTACCAATGAAATAACAGATTCAGTCTCAATCCCAATGTGGGAAAAGATGGAGGAAGCATGGAGAGGAAACAATTCCTCAGAAAAAAGGTCTACAGATTTTAATGTATGAGTCCATAGGGTGATATGGTAACAAACAAAGAAAAACCTTCATGGAACCATGGGCCGCTTTCAGAGAAGCACGTCCAGGACTCTGAAAGTACTGGGACCCGTACTATATTCTGCCTTGGTCAGACTCCATTGGAATATTGAGTTCAGTTCTAAACACTACAATAAAGTAAAGATCTAGATTATCTGGAGAGCCCCAGGATGCTGGAGGCCTCAACTCCAATCCATATGAAGATCCTGAGAGCCGCCATCTTTCATTCACTAAACTTTGTGACCACTGAATCCTCCTTGACTTCCTTCTCTCTTGCCACCTCCTATAGTCAGTCATCTGTCTAACCTTGTCATTTCTATCTCTGTCTTTGATGAGATAATGAGCTTCTGCCTTGTCTTGCCTGGAAACCAGCCTCCACCTTACTGCCCAGCCACCAGCTCCAAGCCAAGCGCCTGTGTAGCCCCTTCTCCTCTCCCCCAGCTCTTTTATGTGTTGTCCTTTCTCATTAGAATGAAAGGTAAGGAGCTGTCTGTCTTGTGCTTTTATCCCCAGTGCTTAGCACAGTGCCTGGCATATAGTAAGTGTTTAATAAATGTTCTCTCTCTCTCTATCTCTCTCTCTCTCTCTCTATCTCTTTTTCTGTCTCTGTCTCTCTCCTACGTTTCTGCTGTCTGTCTCTGTCTCTGTTTCTATCACTCCTCTATCTTTCCATCTATTATTTTTCCCCTTCTCTCAGCTTCACTCTAATTCATGTCTTCATCACTTTGAGCCTAGACTACTGCAATATGCTTTTAATAGGTCTCCCTGTTTCCAGCCCCTCCCTTCTACAAGCCATCCTTCATAGCTACCAAACTAATCTTCCCAAGTTACAATTCACTTGTGTAAACAAAAACCTTCAGTAGCTCCTGGTTGTTTGCAGAGGTGTCATTCATGTGGCTCATGGACCACATGTGGCCTACAATCCAGAATAAAGTGTAGTTGCTGATTTGTGTGTTGATATATTAATTTAAAAAAATACATTAACAGGTGCTTTGCTAAGTCAATATATAGCCTTCAGGGATCCCCATGTATGGTTTAGTGGACCCCATTTCTATTTGAACTTGACACCTCTGGTCTGTAGGATAAAATGCATCCTGGCATTATGACTTTTCACCGTGTAGCTCCCATCTACCTTTCTAGCCTTATTTCATTATTCTCTCCGGCATATACTCTGCACTTCAATCAAATTGGATTACAGACCTTTCCCACTAGATCAATATCTCCTCTCCCACCAATATATAGCCACCCAAACCATTCCCCATTCCCGGAGTGTGTGTACTGCCTCTCTTGTTGACCTATCTGATGTCTTCAAGGTTCAACTTGGGTGCCGCCTCCTCCAAACTGCCTTTTCTGATCACTACTCTTCACTCTGCCCTCTCTCTTTCTCCTCAGTTTTCCTTGTTCTAAATTTATTTGTGTATATATTTATGACCCTTGTAGAATGTAAGTTCCCTGAGGGCAGGGACTCTTGTGTTCATTATTTTATCTCTAGCAAGCACCCAGTACAGAGCCTGTCACAAAGTGGACATAGATGTTTGTTGAACAGATCAGTTGAAGGTATTTCCAGGTGTTTAGCCTGGAAAGAAGACTTAGGATGCATGATAGCTGTCTTTGAGTATTGGAAGGGTTATTCCATGGTGGCAGAATTAAGCTAGTTCTGCTAAACCCCTGAGGGCAGCACAATGGGTGGGCAATGCAAAGGACCAAAAAAAAGACTGGATGTTGGGAAAAGACTTGTTGACTTTTAGATCTTTCCAGGAGTGGAAAGGGCTACCTCAAGGGGTGGTGGGGCCTCCCTTACTAGAGGCCTTCACTAAGGCTGGATGGCCTTTTGTCAGGTATGTCGCAATTATAATTCTTGTTCCAGTCCTGGGTTGGGGTGAATGCTCCGAGAAGTCCCTTTCTCCCGTGGGATTCTGCAAATAAATTCACGTGGGTCTTAGTTTTCCTTAGCCCAATGGTGTGCTGTGGTTCTAGGTTTAAAAAAACAAAGAATAAGAGTACCCAAAACATACATATTTTCATAATTAATCAGAATATTTATAGTAAGTACAACCATAGTGTAGTCTAAACTCTGCGATAATTTTGGCCTTTGGAAATTAAAGTGCAAATCTATTGATAACAACATTGACCACAAAATAATAACGGTAATAATAATTTATTTTTGTTTCCCTCCCTAGCGCTTCTATAGCTTTCACTGCAATTAAAATTCTTCAGAATGCAGAGGTTTTCCAAAAGACTAAAGAAGAAGTATGTATTTTTTTTCCTCTAAAGTACTTCATATGAAATTATCAAGTTATAGGCTGCTCTATTTGCACGTTGGAATTAACAATATACTTCTAGGACGCATCCTCATCCGTGGGGATACTCCCTCCTTCGATACCGAATATGACCCCTTCATGCCTGAGCAGACAGTCTTTTCTATCGCTCTGTTGCATCAATCTGTTTCCCATCAATCTCTCTGTGTGCCTCTCCACCCCGCTCACCCCCAGAATCTCACTATGCCCAAACCTTGATGAAATAGATTAATTACTGAATATTGGGGAAGTCTTGGCAAAACTATTTCACCTGGTTATTAGGCTTCCTTTTGACCCAGAAAGTGAACTCACCTGAATAACTGGGGAGATGTCAATCAAATCTGGGGAAATAGGTTTGCCAAGATTTTCCAAACATCCAATAATAAATATATTTCATCTAAACTTTAGGATCTTAGTTGTAGAGCTGGAAGGGGCCCCAGGAGTCACCCATTCCAACTTCCTTATTTTACAGGGGAGGAAACTGGGGCCCAGATGTCACACAGCTAGGAAGTGGCATCTCCTAATCACTTAACTTACAATAAATGTGGGTTGATCTTTGTATCTTCCATTGCTCCACTCAGTACCTCACCCCTCTTTTCCCATTATGGCATCAAAGTACAGGGTGCCCCTTTGGCTGGTGTGGTGATGGATGGTGTGTTAGGCACTGTATTCAGCAGCGGAACATTGCTCTCACTGTCTTTTGATTGCTTTAGATTTATGAGAACCCAGATGAGCTGGACGCCCTAGAGCCTCTTGGGATGTTAGCCCGAGAACATCTGAACATTCATATGTGGCTGAGGTGCCGCCTGGCCTTGGTGGTGGCCTCTGTGGCACACATCCGTGGCATGGGGTTCTTGAAAGGTACAAATAAACACCCTTCCTAGGGAGAATGTTTTGGGCTGAACTATGTATTTCTCTTATGGGAATAATGTTTTTAGTGCGATATACATTAGGTTTTGTAACTTCTGAGCTTGGGCTGGATTGGGAGCTCAAGTCATGGTTCTAATGTTGTTTCTGACTCTGACAGGCCTTATAACTTAATAAGGGACAGAAGGAGGGAGGGAAGGAAGAAAAAAGGAAGGAAGGCAGCACATTATTTTTAATAAGCACCTACTATGTGTCTGGCATTCTACTAAGCACTTTGTAAATATCATCTCATTTGTTCCTCCAATAATCCTGGGGTATAGGTGCTTCTAGTCCTATTTTACAGTTGAGGAGACTGAGGCAGGTAGAAGTTAAATGACTTTTTCCGGGCCACACAGCTAGTAAGTGTCTGAGGCCAGATTTGAACCAAGTTTTCCTGACTCCAGGCACTCCATCCATATGCCTTGGGAAGTAGATTAATATCACATGGCTGACTCTGTTCCAACTCATTCAGGGCCAGGCCTGTCAAATTGTATCCCACTCGGGCTTCCTGGGGACCCAGAAAGGGTGGGGGAGCCTTTTTCCTCTGCCATGGGATTGAGTCCCCACTAATCATGTTCCCTCATTTTCTAAGGCTCAGTGACTAGCGCCCGAGTTCCATTTAATCACTCAACATTGGATTAGCTTTTACAAATGGATATTTACTTCAAAGAGGTAGCAAAAATAAACAAGCAAACATTTCCCCCAACATCTTGGGGCACACTATCGCTCTATACCAACTATAGTGAGGGGAACAGGATGAAGTTCATAGCTTCACTCAGTTCCAACATAGTGTTGATCTCACTGAGTTCAGTTGGGCTGGAGTCCCAGGTCTCCATCCTTAGGACATCGCTACGGGGCTGGCTGTAACATCTGGCCTTGATCCTCAACTACTGGGTTCCTGTGTTCACAGAGATTCCACTCCCTGAACTTCTAACAAAAACAGAAACAAAAGAATGAGAAGGTCAAAGACCCAGTATCTGAGAGTCATATGTCCTCAGGAGGGGAAGGAGGACCTAAGGCCCTCCCCACTTACCACATGGTCACACCAGCTTTGGGTAGAGTCACCTCCTCCCTTGGACATAAATGCCACCAAAGGCCATGGGTTTTAAAGATGGTAACAGTCCTGACTATGCAGCCAACAGAAAAATACAGCTCCAACCAAGATGGCAGACCACCACAGAATGTCCATGTAGTACACTTTAGTTCTCTAGTTTCCCAGAAGCACCCCTCTGTAAGTCTTCCACATGGACGATGCCTTCTTAGCTTCTGAGCACGTACCAAATCCTCATTACCATAATATTTGAATTGCTTTGAGATCTTTGTGCAGATCAAATAGATTAATGTATGTAAAGGGCTCCTACCCCTTTGATTCCAAGGATGTGTGCTGGGGGGGAAGGAGCAAGGGAGACGCATGATGTCCTTAGCTTCCTTACTTACAACTCATAATTCATTTTCCCAGAGAAAGTGTTCTAAATAAAGGGTGAGTGTGGTAGACATAGTTCCAGTTATGTACTCTGCCTTAATTATATTCTTTGCTAAGTGTTGGGGATTGACCAAAGACTATGATCATTTCCATAGTTGTTTCTATGGGGAAAGCCATTCTGAGTTCCAAACGGGTAATAATCAAAGCACAATAGTGTCATTGGTTGGAGACTTGGTCTATTTTAAATAAATTCCCAGTTCAGATTTTTGGATTTGTAGAATGTCACAACTGAAAGTACCTTAGAGCTCATCAAATCCAGCCCTTTCATTTTGCAGATGAGGAGAATGAGTCCTAGAATGTTAAAAGTGACTTGCCCAAGGTCACTCAGATACTTAATGGTCTGTATTGACCTACATCTGTCTCTTAAACTAAATATTATTTCATTTTAATTGTGTTGTTTATTTGAAACATGGAAGCCCATTAAAGTGCTTCCTCATTAGTTGCAATAAGTGTCTTGAAAATGTCTTGTATATCGCACATTTGTTAACAATCCAATTATCATGTCAACACTGCATTATGCGACATCCCTATAACAAACATTAGGGATATCGTCTGCATTTTTTTGGCCTTTGTTCTAATCCTGCAGTTTCTAAGTGCGCTGTCGCTAAGCGTATTTGCTTGTTTCTTTTAGAAAATGAGGTGACCGACTGCAGACATCTGATAAACGAAGTGGTCGTGGAGGCACGGGACTGGAATGACACTGAGATGCAAGCAGAGGTGTTGGTGCAAGCTGTCAAGCTTGACCTGCAAGAGAGGCACCCGGCAGCCGAGATCATTAAACATCTGCGGGTACGAAAAGAAGGACCCTTAGATTATTTTGTAAACAATTATCTCAGTTAGAACCAAATAAAACTTACTCTGTTGGGGGTGGGGAGGAGGAGGGGTCCATTCTTTTGTTTTCATTCGTATGAGCCCCTCCTATTGTGGAAGACCCCTCCACTAATACAAGTTGGTGATGCCTTTGTCATTTATAGTCTTGGAGACTTTTCTTGGGCCTCTGAGAGTCTGAGTGACTTGTAGAGATCACCTACCCAGTAGGTGTCAGAGGCAGGACGGGAAACTAATAGTTCCCGACTTCAAGGAAAGCTTCTAGCCCCCACACCCTGTTCTTTAACTAGCTAGTCAAGTTGCGTAAGGTTCTGGATGTAGGGTAAATAAACAGCATCTATTAGTATCTGGATAAATTTGCTAGTAAACATTTTTCAAATTTTTTAATAGGATATAATCAATTTACTTGAAGGAAAACCCTTCATTTCTCCTCGAGGCTCGTTAATACTTGTGAAAAGCCTGGTGTTAATGGATGACTTACTGAAAATTGAGGAACCCCAGAAATATCTCTCTCCTGGAAATGAAAATTTCAATTTATTAAATCAGGCTCATGCTCTTATTATTGAACAGGTGAGAATACAGTCCTTTCTGCAGAACCCAGAAACTTCCCCTGCCCTTCCTGACCCCTGACTCTGTCAAGTCACCCTCTCAAACTGTTGCTGTCTGTCTTACAGGCTCTATCTTTGGGTGAAACGATTAGATTGGCTTCTTCAGACTCTGATTATGCGAATATCATGTACCCTTTGAGAAACATTTATCTTCCGTATATCAACTTAATGGCAAAAGTGAAGATGAGAATTGGTAAGGAAATTTAAATATGTCATTGCATGAGAACGACAAATCAAAAAAGTTAATTGTAAAGTTACTGTTTTGTAGGTAGGTTGTAGGAGCTTATGCAAAAAGGATGATTTCACTGAACACTGTGTACATGTAACATAAATCATTATAATATGTTCTTTTTTAAGAAGCTCATACTTCTCAAAACTTCCGCTCTCCCTTCAAGGGTTCAGATATTGCATATTTATATTTGCAAAATAAAAGGGCCATGTGTTATTATTTAATTTTAAATGGGACCAGAGGCACACACACACAATTTTGCATACACATTTTAACACCTCCTAAAAATCCATTTTGTCATCTTCCTAAATCAAATACTTTTCTTGATTTCTCTCATTTTGGCCATTATACCATGATGTATTCATTCTTCCAAGTTACCCGGGCTACCCTCGAATTGCCTATTACCTTTATCACCCTGGGGAAGGGAAACCTGGACTTAACAACCATAGATTCTCCTTCCAGCTCTGGATCTAAGATCTTACAGTTCTGATGAAAAAAAAATGCACCATAATTCTATAGAGGCAGAAAAAGCACTAACAGGTGAGGGAATCAAGAAAGGCTTTATGTAGAAGGTCTTGAAGGAAGAGCTGGCTTCTATGAAACCTAGTTGAGGATAGAGGTCGTTTCTGGTGTGGATGAGGGACGATGCAAAAGGGACCTTAGGAGTGAGTAAGTCAAGCCCCTTATTGTGCAGATTAGAAACTGAGGGGTGTCGAGACATTAAATGTCTTGCTCAAAGTCACCCAGCTGGTAAATGGTGAAGGTGGGACACAAATTCAAGATGTGATCCTAACTCTGGGACTTTTTCTGCTATACCACATGGCTACTACTCCTATTCAATACCTGGTTTCCTAGGACTCTTCCATTGCTTTCCATTTCCTCTGCCTTAGGCTCCATTCTCTTTCTCCCATGTGTCCTGATACTTAGCCCAAGCGCTTACCCACCATTTTGGCTTTTGTTCTGGATGCCAGTCTTTGGCTAAGAGCCTCAGGTCCCTATCTTCATATTTCCATGGTCCCATTACTTGGATCTTAGCTGCGTGAACATGCCCTCCAATGGAATGGATCATCTATGCCTTTTTTTCTCCTGTGCCCTTCCTAGAGGCAGCTCAGTGGTATGATGGAAATAAGGCTGAGCCTAGAGTCAGGAAGACCTGAGTTCAATGTGACCTCAGATTTACCCCTGGCAGACCTGCTACTTCCTGCACTCTTCTCCTTGTAGTCTCTCCAATCTTAAAAAGGAGAATTTTTCTATTTTTTCCTCTTAATGAGACAAATCCTTTTAAAATAAAGTGTCTCATATGCTAGGATGAATTGTATTTGCAAGAACATGAAGCTTGTGATGACAGTCTTGCCAACGGTAATTGTCAAGACCCTTAGATTATTTCACTTTGTCAACTTAACTGGCCATTTTGACTCATGGTGCATCTGTGCCTGTTAACAAATTATAAATCACACAGTTGTTCATATTATATCATAAAGTTTGGGCTAAATCACCTATGGATTTTGAAGATGCCTTTTCCCCAGTGAGATTCAGTTGGTAAAATTGAGCGAAATGTCCCTAACCTCCTTTTAATTCATCTAAGTGCCAAAGTATCACATTATCACCTATTAACCATGAGGGCTTCATTTATATTTATATATACATGTATGTATATAATGTAATATGTGTATATATTTATAGAAAGCATGGCCATATATTGTATAATGTATGTATATATTTATATAAAGCATGGTTTTATATATATATGTATATAGAGAGCACCAGTGACAAGTTTAAATTTTCTTTTAAATGTCACACATAGGTGTAGAACTGTCTGCATAAAATGGTCTAATATTTTAAATTCTGAAGTCTTAAGGAATATGCGGAATAAATGGTTTAGTTGAAACATTGCCCCTGAAATTGTGCCCTAGAGGTCAGCAATTTCAAGCCTGCCATCTACCTTGTTGATTTATAGTATTTGCTACGTATATGTATGTGTGTGTACATGTATGCATATATATTGCTATCAATTCTCCATCCTTAAACAGAAGGCCACTAATCTTCTAAGGGGTATATGGATGGTAGAATTCAATGATGTAAAGATAACTTTGATAGGTTGGAATGGAAATATCATAGGCAAAACAAAAGGATTTAGATAATTTTATATATTTTTGAGTTCTTAAAGTTGTAAATCATTGAGGGGTAGATTTCAGAAAATAGTACCAGTTCACCTCCTGGTAATTCATTTGCTACTTCAAGAAAGGGTCAAAAATATAAAGAAAATTATTTATTTAGAAATTCATCTAAAGAGACATCATTATAATGATTTGGATTGTTTCTCTAGTGGCAAAATGGTCAAAGTAACCCCATTACAAATCACAGAAAAATTGCAGAGTGGTTTTGGGCTTACTCTTCCTAGGCAGAAAATAATTAGTGGTATCTCCATTAATCAATGTCTGATTTCTCTTCTTGATTTTAGTCATTTGTTTAAATCACCCTTCTTGGTTCATTATTGTCAGACGAGGTAACGTGCTTGAATTTCACAACTCTTTGTGACTTGTCACTCTCTGATATCCTCTCAGAATAACATTTATCCAAAAGATACATGATTTTAAATGTCTCCATAGGGATTATCCTTTGCAGGAGAGATAGAGCCAGGATCCTGATTAATGAATTGACTAATGGCTGTCTCCTGGTTTCCTCCAATTAATCTGAGTGACAGGTGTGTGTCATGAAGAGGTCTCTAGACCTGGCTTGCTCTTCTTTTCACGCAGTGGCCCACGGGAAGCTTGCTCTTTGATAGGTATTTTTGGCCGGTGCTTCAGCTCTCTGAATTTATAGTAAATAGAAACTTTCTCTTCAAAAAGGAACTCTGGTCCTTATTGCTGCCTTTAAGGCTTATCTAGTGCCACCAATCGAAGGGCATTGGATTTGGAATATAAGATTCTGGGTTCAACCGTTGCATCTGCCATGTTTTAGCAGTGTGACCTTAGGCAAATTACTTCTCTCAGGGCCTCTGTTTCCCCATCTGAAGGGGTTGGAGTATATGACCTCCAAGGTCCTTTCTGCCTGCCAGCTGATGATGCTATGATTCTCTGAATAAAAACACCACTTAATTAGGGACATGATACACAAAGATGCTCATTTATGGCATTTGTCCCTTAATGAGCTTTGTAGCTACTTGTTGGCATGTTTGGTAGTAGCCTATATGTATGGCATGGGCATTGTATGGCATTTTCTGGTACCCTGGAACCTTGCTACAGTGAAGTATACAATGTTTTTACTTTATTAGAAATTATTTTATGTAGTCAAAATGTCACTAAATAATCTTTATTCGGCTGACTTCTAAGTTGTTTTTTTTTTTCAAATGGAAATTGACATCAATAATATTTTCTAAATGACATTGGAGACATTTCTTGGAGACATTTGGGCCCATTTATTCTCTCCACTATAGAAATCTAGAAATCATTCAACAAGTATTTATCAAGCCCCTATCATTTTCTTGGTCCCGTGCTAGGCACTAGAGATGTGAGTAAAAAGAATGAACTAATCCTCATTCACAAGGAGTTAGATTCTATTGGAGACAGGTCCATAGACAAATGTATAAAGCATAAACGTAAAGCTAAGTCAACAAGTGCTTATTCCACACCTATCAATGTGCCCAGCGCTGTGCTAATCACCAGGGATTCAAACAAAGGCAAAAAAAAACAAAGAAACAAAGAAACAAACAAATAAAACCCAACCTGTCCTTGTTCTTAAGAATCCTATAGTCTAGTGGGATCGATACGTACAAAGTATTTATATAGAAGGTAGTTAGGGATCAGGAAAGGCTTCATTCAAAAGATGGTGCTAGAACCGCAGTTAAAGGAAGAGAAGGCTTTCCTTCCGGGCATGCAGGCTGGACGTGTGGCTGGATGAACATGTGGCTGGATGGATGTGTGGCTGGATGGCCACGTGCTGGAGGGGAAGGAAAGTCCAATGAGGCTGGAAAGGTTGGGACCAAGAGCGGTCAACTTTCAATTGGTCAACAAGGACTTCCTGAGAGCCCAGCATGTGCCAAGCAATGGAGATACAAGGAGAGGGGAAAACACTGTCCCTGCATGCTCTCCAAGGAGCCCACATTCTAGTGAGGAAAACCACGTGCAAAAAAACCTCCAAGAGAGAAGAAAAATGCATAAGGGATGGATATGGTGGGGGACAAAGCATTAACCTTGGAGTCGGGCTGATTCTGGGCTTCACCTCTCTGTGCCTCAGTTTCCTCATCTGCAGGATGCAGTTTTAGATTTATTAATCTAATAGGTCCCTTCCAAATCTAGGATCCAGTGAGAGGTACTACATAAGAATTATTTCCCTGGACTTTTAACACCACAGTCACCCATTATTACATCTGATTTAACTGGAAGTTAAAAGCTCACAGCGTGTGAAACCAAACATATACTTGTCTGTTCTGCGTTAAGAACTTGAAAACTTGTCACCCCTCAGGATGACAACACGGCTGCTGTAATTTGAGGGACTCATTACAACTTGTTTCTGTTATCTCGCATTGAATACAGATTTAGAAAACAAAACCAAGAACGACTTTCTTGTCAAAACAACATTAGCTCCTACAATTTCTACTTTATTGAAAAGAATAGGGCTCTTTGCCTTCCTGATGTATCAATATTATGAAGCATAATGCGTGTGACACTCTTTGCCTGATAGAAAACGTAAGCTTTCTTTTATAGTGACAATGTAGGTCCCGTCCCAAGAATGTGGCAGCTCTGAAGAAAGGGTTCACGTTCCTAAAGCCTTCAGCGAAAAGACATCTTGTGGTTTCATTTGTAGAAACCGAGAAATGACCGGCATCAATGATATTGTCAGTTTGGTCTTAAATTTGTGTACTGACATTATTCTACATTAGTATATTTTTATTGGACAGTAATTTTAATGAGAAATGAATGCCAAACACTGAGACTTATTTTTTTTTCCAGTTTTAACAAATACATTCCAAAGTTCCAGAGTTTTGTCATGACCTGGAGAAAACCGGGTCCTTGAAGGCTCTGTGCCTCACAAACTGAACTCTGTTGTACCTTTCCAAGCTAGAAGGAAATTGAATACAGGCAGGGCAAAGATGACATCATGTTTCTATGGTTCAGCCTAGCTAAGTTCAGAGAGTCTCATCACTGGAAAGCCAACCACTGAATATAATGCCATTTTTGAGGGGGCTGTAGCAGCTCTCAGACTATTCACTGTGGTGGGGAAGGCTTGTCATCTCCATTCATGGATCAATTATCCACACCAATAAGATGGTGTGATTGAATATCTGTTTCTTTACCCAACATGTTTTTCCTAAAGATGAATATTAAAATTGTACAAAAGCAACTATATCAAAGAGTACTATACATATGTGTGTGCATACATATACATACACACATACGTGTACATACATACACACATGTGTGTATACATATATATACATGTATATGCACACACCAGTATGTATATGAATATGTGTGTATATATATTCTTCCTCCTGAGATGGTCTGTGTCTGTCTCTTCATGACCCCATTTGGGCTTTTCTTGGCAAAGATACTGAAGTGGTTGGCCATTTCCTTCTCCAGCTCATTTGACAGATGAGGAAACTGAGGCAACCAGGGTTTAGTGACTTGTCCGGGGTCACACAGCTAGTAAATGTCTGAGGTCAGATTTGAACTCACATTTTCCTGATTTCAGGCCTGGAGCTCTATCCACTGTACCACCTAGCTGCCCACATTATATTAATTTAGACCAATTAATTATTTATGAGGCAGTGAAGGGCACAGTAGATAGAGTGCTGGGCCTGGAGATGGGAAGATCTGAGTTCAAATCTGGCCTCAGGCACTAGCTGTATGACCCTGGACAAGTCATTTAATCCTCATTTGCCTCCATTTCCTCATCTTTAAAATGGAGATAATAACAACACCTACCTGTAAAGGAGGGATCAAATAGGATAATATTTGTAAAGAGCTTAGCACAGAGCCTGGCACATAGTAGGTGATATTTCCATGCTTATTCCTTTCTTTTCTCTTTCCTGCAACATTTGACTCCTGTAGTGTTATGGGAGGCAGTGTGGTCTAATGCAGAGAGTGCTGGCCTTAGAGTCATGGTCGTTGAGTTGGAGTTATGGCTCGGCCACTGACATCTAGCTGACCTTGGGCAGGCTGCTTATGAATGTCTCTGGGCCTGGGTTTCCTCATCTATAAAAAATGAAGGGCGGTGTCAAACTAAAAGAAACTAATCCCATGCGCCATATATTGACTTAGAAAACCAAAAATCAATATTGTCTATGTCGTCTGTTTATTTTTTAAAACATTTCCCAATGGCATTTTAATCTGCTTTGCGCCGCACTTGGGAGTTTTGCAGGTTCCCAATATAAATGTCTACACCAAACGGCCTCTAAATTCCCCTCCAGCTCTGAATCTATGATTCTGTGGTTTAAAATATTATGAGAAATTTAAAGATATTTAAAAATGCTCAGAACATGTTGTAAGTTTTGACTCATTGATTTTGTGGTCAATAGAAGCTGTCATTCATTGACTGTTGATAAAGCAAAATGAGGAAGTACAATTTCTCTCCCATAGGGAGAGGACAGGGAGTCCACTTCAGGTCCTCTTCACCCATGGCAGAACCCCTTGATGGGTCAGGGTCCAGTCTGTTGGGTGATGAGGCAATCAGAGTGCCTTGGCTGGCTTCTCCAACAATGGCATCAGTTTCACATGACCATTGTAGCCAGGCCCGTGTTCTTGTTCCCAGGGCCTATGTCTCTATCCTCAATCCCTAGCATTTTTTTTCAGATCCACTCAGTTGGCTGCATTTCTTCTTCTTTCATATCGATAAATTTGAGAGGGCAGATTTTTCCCATAGAGGGCATAACTAGCCTGGATCTCAAAGCCGTTTCCAGGCGTGGTGGGCAGAGAAAGAAAAAAGATAAGAGGCCACTCTGGAAGGGCCAGTATTTGAAAGGTGAGTCAGGAGGAGCCAGAGAGGAGTGATTTCTGTGGTAGCTATCAGTGACTTTGAGCTATTTGGCTTTTAAAGCACGGTCTGATTCATGCTTTTTTTAGAGTTGAAAGGGTTAATAAAACAAATGCAAGTTTGTAAAAAAAATGGGGGGGGGTCTGTTTAAGAGCATTCTAATATCTCTGCTAATTTCACACTGTATCAAATCAGGTCTCCTAGTCTCTCTAGCCTCCCCTCTGAACGATGCTGACTTACTCTGCTCCCTTGATTTCTCCCAGCCTCCATCAGCAGTGACTCGATCCCCTCTCCTTCTCTTACAAATTTCACAAGCTCTTTCCACAAATTATTCCCTGATTCCAGCCCTATTTTATCTTTGCCTGGTCTGACTGCAGACACTGTATGACTCCCACTCCTGTTTTGCTCCTCCAATTGGTCTGTTGGGTTGACTGCACAATGGATTCTGACTATTCCTCTCAGGGTTCTCGGGGCAAGCCTATGGGTGGCTACTCCCCGAACATTTCCCAACACTATATGTTGTCTTTGAGCTTTCACTGGTGTGATTCCTGTCAACGGTCAGGAGACTGAATTAGCTTTTACAAAGGCATTTAATCCAATTGCATTGTAGGAACAAAGCATTCAATCCCCAGTACCTGGGGCACACTCTCCCACACATATATGCCCAGCAGGATTTGAACTCAGTTCTTCCTAACTCAAAGGTCAGCCCTTTATCTACTTGGTAGCTTTAAATAAAATCTTTAGAAGAAAAGAAAACCTTTAGAGAAAAACTGGAAATTGTCAAGTCCCACAAGATGCCTTAACCATACTAGTTAGGGCTGACCTTCCTTTAGAAGATGACCTTCTGATATGAAGCAGTGGATAGAACACTGGTACTGCAGTCAGAAGGACCTGAGTTCAAGTCAGACCTCAGACACTTGACACTTACTAGCTGTGTGACCCCGGGCAAGTCATTTAACCCCATTGCCTAGCAAAAAACAAACAAACAAAAAGATTACTCTGACCTTCTGGAAGATTTGCTCTTCTAGCAGATGGCGTTTCTGTCTTAATTTTTTTTTAATTTATTGTGGTTCCATATTCCATTCCAGCTCATATGTTAGCCAAGCAAGTAGCTTCCTCCGGAAAAAGAGATTCTTCTCAATGGGCACCTGTCATTCATCTCTTTGAGAAAGCGTTGTATCATTGTAGGACAGCTGCGATACGAGAAGGTGAATTGGAAGCTGAAATCCTTTTTGAGAAAGGTAAGGACTATTTGGTGTCTTGGCTCTAGTGAATTCACATTATAAGTAGCTTTCCTCCAGTTCTCTGATGCAAATCCTTTCTCCAGTAGTTGACATGTTTTCATGGTGACTAGGTGGGGCAGTGCTCAGTGCGTAGGACTTGGAATCGGGAAAATCTGGGTTCAAATCCTGTCTCAGACACTTCCCAAGTTCATGACCCTGGGCCAGTGACTCAGACTTTCAGCCTCAGTTTTCTCATTTGTGAAATATTGATGATAATAATAGCAACTACTTTATAGGATTATTGTGAGGATGAAATGAGATAACGTGTAAAGCGGCTTCCATATCTTAAAGGGCGACATAAATGACATTATTATCATGCAGGGTTTACTGATGAGAAAAGTACTCGTACCTTTGTCGTTCTTAATATGAGATAAAACAACAGTATTTCTGGTTTGTCTGAAAATGCCGGCTCTTATTAATGTTTATATTATTCACATTGAAGATTCAGCTCCATGTTAAACTTATATCTACTAACCTCTGATGTTTGGCTAATGTGCCAAGCAGCTAGGTGACCTGGCAGATAGAGTTCAGGACCTGGAATCAGAAAGAACTGATTTGTACCCTAGACATGTATTAGTTGTGTGCTAGCCTCAGTTCCCTCATTACTAAAATGGGTATAATACTAAGTGAGATAATATTTTGTAAAGGGCTTTGCAAACCTTAAAGTGCTCCATAAATGCCTGCTGTTATTAATGTTGGGAAGAGGTTCCCCACCCCTACCCCCATCTGCCATCTTAGCCATTCGTTTTTATTACTGTCAAAATGAACTGTTTGTAACACATGTGTGCTACTTGTAGACACTACTCTGCCCATAGACTCCTTCATTGGTGGGGCTCACCCTTCACTAATGCAGATTGCAGCTTCTCTGTGTCTTAGTAGCTAATCTTTGGGAGTGGCTGAAAAGCCCAACCTCCTGATAGGCCTCTTAGGGAACCTAGCAAGACTGGTGCTTGAACCGCCAACCCTATTGTGTCTATTTATGCTGGACGCCCGCCCATCTTGGGGCGGAATGAGGTAGGGCTGATAAAACTTGTGCCTGTCTGGCAGAGTGTCCGGGATCCCTGGTCTAGTTCATGCCTCAGTCCAAAGAGAACTGTAGTGGAGGATGTGCATATTCACACACATATCATACGGCCAATTTTTAAAAATAAATCTTTGATTAGAAGCTTAACATTAAACATCAATACTTATTAATTATTCACATTTCATAATGATGATAAGGATGATGATAGCTAACAAAGCACTTACTATATGCCAGGCGCTGTGCTAAGCACATTTAAATCATCAAGGTGAAAGCATAAAGTATTCCTTTTTTTAATCAGGATCCTTTGTCCATTTATTATTATTTTTTACATATATAAGCACATATGTTTTTATACTGAATTTAACCAACAAAAATGAGTTTTTCCTTATATAGTTACAGAATCTTTTTGGATTTGTCCCCTCCTAACACAAAAAGAGGATTATTGTTTGTACTGCTTTTTTTCAAAAGTATAGAATAAATTGTACACATGGCTTTCAAAACTGTTCTGCTTCTCTGGGCTTCTGTATGTCCATTCATTCTCATTCAGTTTTTCTCATATGCCCATTAGACTGTGAGCTTCCTGAAGGCAGGGACTGGCTTTTGTCTTTCTTTGTATGCTCCTAACACTTAACACAGGGCCCAGTGCATATCAGGTACTGAATAAATGTTTGTTGACATAGTAACTGACAGTATATGCTTCATTTTTCTTGCTCTGCTTTTTCCCCTTTGTATTATTTCTTGAAGGTTTTTCTGAATTTCTTTTTATGCTACATAACTGCATTATAGAATTCCATTACATTAATGTAACCCATTTATTTAACTGTTACCTCTATTATTAGATATTTTGATTGCTTTCAGGTAGTTTTTTTTTCCCCAATTACACATAATGCTGCCATAAAAATTTTTTGATTGACAACTTTTTTAAATGCTTGATTGTTGTCAGAAAATATTGCCCCAAATAGAATTATTGGTTCAAGGGATGTGTTTATTTTTGTAGTTTTTACTATATACTGCCAGACTGTTCTCCAAAAAGACGCTGTAACTTTATAATTCCACCAGCAATGAGTGAGTGTACCAGTTTCTCTATAACCTTGACAGTGTTGAGTTTTTATTTTTTACCAATTTGGTGGGCATGAGGCTGCTTTAATTATTAGTGAGATAATAGTTTTTTTCTCTTGATTATCAACAATTTATGTTTCCTCTTTTAAAAATTGTTCATCTCCTTTAGCCATTTACATAACATGAACCAGGAGTTTTCATTATGATTTTTAAAACATTTCCTTTTATGTTTTAGGTTCGAGGTTTTTTTTTTTTTTTTGTCATATTTCCACAATCGGTTTTTATGGCAATATTCTGATACTTACGTGTTCATTTTTCCTGCCTTTCTCTGAAGTCTTGGTGCTGCACCATCATGAGCGATGCCTTTGAAAACATCAAGGGAACAGGCTTAGCTCTAAGCCAAGCAGTGAACTCTCCCAGAAGACCTGGGAAGGGCCACATGAAGGGACTGAAGTGTTTCCATTGATTGGTTGATGTTACCAAGGACTGCTTTTTGATTTATTTTGCTCTATTTATTTTGGTCTACATTTTTTACCCTGTTAGACAAGGTAGACAATAAAGAAGCCGTAGTTAGGGGAAGAAGAAATAAAAGGGGAGGGAGAGAAACAAAGCACGGAGGTAGGAAGAGCGGTGAAGGGGTAAGGATAAGAATTGTGGAAAAGACTTGGGAACAAAAGAGACATACTGGAATGGTTGATTAATTGTTCGGTGGCCTCTGTCCACTTGATGGCTTGGAAGCAAACAGACTTCCTCATCAGGCAACAGTTGTTGCGACCTTGAATTTTTTTGAGAACACTATAAGTAGTCCTTCCCTACTGTGAGCCTTTTTGCCAACGGAAAGATCAGAAAGTGCATTTGGTTTTCTAATTTCCCACCATGAGATGTTAGGGGCCCAAATGAAGAAGGACAGAAACAGCTTTAATGCCTACTTTTCCGCTTTCTCATCTTTCAGGCAAATTAGAACGTCAAATGTTTATTGCAGATGAGACAACCCATATAGCTAACGATCTCTTTGAAGCTATAAAAACAAGTCTGAAAAATGATCAAAATTTAAGGTAAAAAAAAATCAACATATCTTTCCATCATAGCAGTTTGGTCTTTTGCCTTGCCCTTCTTTGGGGAGAATTAAACTATTCAAGTCAGAAATGGTTGTGCAACCTCTTCATGTCAGCTCTGGGTCAATGGCATATATCTTCTTCAGTAACTCAAGGAATTTCTGGTTAACAAGTGCGCTCATTTGGTCGTCAACCACAAATTTCAGCTCTGCTCTAGGACTTAGTTCACAAGGATGGCCTGTGATGATGCCCTTCCCAAGAGTGACTCAACCATTATTACACCAGAGAACAAACATCATTACTAAACTCTTCTGGTCACTGGGTAGACTGTACCTCGGAGTACTGGTGCATACATCTCCTAGGCCACGTCTTAGACCTGAGGTAAACTGTCCTGTCCCAGGAGCTGTCCCTGTGGTGCAAGGACTGAAGAAGAATAGGCCCAGGAGGGTTTCCTAGGAGGTCTAGTCTGGGCCAGGACTGGAACCCACCTAAGCTGGAAGGGGGAAAAGAGAGCCTGGCCTAACCTGGTCTCCTTGAAAGCCTAGCGTCAGCCTGCACAACCTCCCCATGGTTATTTTTAATTCTTTGTTAATGTTCTACACTGTCATGAAAAGACTCACATGGTTCTATGTATGGGAGTAAGAGGGTACTGAGTGACGTTGGCCTCGAGGTTTACCAGCACGTATTTAGTTGCAATAGAACTTGATCTGGGGTCAGAGCCTCTAGATTTTAAGGGATTTGTGAACTTGGAGCACAAAAAAAAATAGATCTTGATTTTCACTAATCTCTAGCTGAAATTTAGCATTTAATTCAATTATAAATTAAAAAAAAATTCCGAGGGGTCCATAGGCTTCACCAAGGTACCAAAAGGGTCCATGACACAAAAAGGGTTGAAACCCCCCCGCACGAGAAGGTCATAGCACTTTTCTAGAGCATTGTCATTTTTGGTGTCCGGGAACCAATGGTAGCAGCCATGACCCCTGGGGAAAAAAGAGGGGAAGAGGGCTGGGCGAGGAAGTGCAGTACGGATGATCTGGGGGCACCAGCTCCCTCTCTTCATGAAGCAACTGGCTACAAAAGCACTCTTGATGTACCAGGTGCTGTGCTAAGTGCTGGGGAGTCAAAGAAATACCAGAAAACATGCCCTGCCCTCAACGAGCTCACAGTCTTTCTGGGAGAAAACATGCAAGCAACTGTGTGCAAATGGGGGCTAGGTGACACCACAGCGCACAGGGCACTGGGTCTGGAGTCAGGAAGATTCATCTTAGTGAGTTCAAATCCAGCCTCAGACACTTACCAGCTGTGTCTCCCTGGGAAAGTCACTTAACCCAGTTTGGCTCAGTTTCCCCACCTGTAAAATGAGCTGGTGAAGGAAATGGCAAACCACCCCAGTACCTTTGCCAAGAAGACCTCAGATGGGGTCACAGAGAGTTGGACATAACTGAAACTACTGGACAACAATAATGTACAAATAAGATCTTTTTACAGAATAAATTGGAAGTCATCAACAGAGGGAAGGTCCTGGAATTAGGAGGATCGGGAAAGGCTTTCTGTAGAAGTTGGGATTTTAGCTGGGATTTGAAGAAAGTCAGGGCAGTCAGGAGGCAGAGATGAGGAGGGAGCAGAAGGGATTGCATGATAATGAATAGTTAAACTACTCTTCGAAATTCTACAACTTCTTCTTTTTTTTTTTTTAGGTTGATAAGGAAATCCTACCTGGAAATAGCCCTATTATATTTACATATGGAGAATCTTAAGAAATGTCAGGTAAACTATTTCTTTACTTTATGAGCTGCTTTGGGGTTTGTTGTATTTATATATAGTGTGGGCATAAAGTAATGAAGATGATTTTCACCCATGACGTGTGGAAATAGTTGCTTTTCTAAGCTTCTGTAAACATGGCCCCAGGAGCACAGAGTGACTTGGATGCGTGGTGATGCGAATATTTGGGATGACTTGTTTTTTCACCACTTGTAGACCACTGAAGGATTGGGTCTCTAGCTATACTAAACCCTATTCAATTTTGCTGATTTTTGCAGAGATCCATCCATCTGCTTAAAACTGCTCTACTATATCAGGGAAGGGAAGGGAACTGGTGTTTATTAAGCACCTACTATGTGCCAGGCACTGTGCTAAGTGCTTTATAAGTATGATTTCATTTGATCCTCATAACCTGAGGAGGGAAGCAGGTGCTATTTTTATCTCTGTTTCATAGCTGAGCAAACTGAGTCAGACAAATGTTAGGTGACTTGTCCAGGGTTACACAACCAGACTCAGGCCTACCTGCCATTAGCTATTGAATTAGAAAATAAAAGATCTTATTCAAATCTTGGTGGTTCTTACACATTTTTCATCATCTTTCTGGGCTTTTTTTTTACATGTTGACTTTATTCAACCTTCTGAAATTGTCAGGCATTTATTGAATTCAGGTATTTATTGAATACCCCTCATATGAGGTACCAAACCAAACAAAGAAACAGAAAAGAAGACGAAAAACTCCATGAAGTAGGTGCCATCGAGATTGCTATATAGAAGCTTACATATATGTATATGTATGTACATTTTCATGTGTGTATGAATATATGCCCTTACAAATAAGTAGGTGCTTAAAAAATTGTATTGAATTGTATAGTCCTAACACAGAAGTAAGGAGCTGAAAGGAGCTGAATTCAGGCAGCCCCTTTATTTTTAGGTACACCTGTATTTATAGCAGGATAAAAAAAAAATCAAATTGCTCCTTTTCATAGATACAGGAAGAAGAGAGTGGGTGAATGCCCAGCTAATATTGGAAAGAGGCCTGCAACTTGTTATTTTAAAGCTTGTTATAAAATGTATGTATTAGTGAGCTCCTTCCCTGAGTCTGGAGTATTCAACCTGAACTTTGACTTACCACCCCCACCCCCCACCCCCAGACAACCTACAAATGACCGCATTTTCCAAATACTCTGCATAGCTCTGAGTTGAGAGAGATCCTTGGCTTTTCCTCATCCTTCCTTTAGTACGTGTACAGCTAGGACCCAATGAGTGTAAATAATAAATCCCTGACTGGCACCAGTTGCCATAATTTACAGGCAATCACTTCAGGGGATTCATTATTTGTACACTCTGAGACCTTGCTGGGTTCTGGTGAGAACAGACAGACACCGAGACACCAGACAGGGCTGTCGATTCAGTTTGAACAGATCCCACTTGAAGAAATGGATCTTAGGAAATTCTGTTTTCTCTTCTCCGTAAATCTTAACACACGCAACTCCTAATTCTTAACGTTAGCTGGGAGCAGAAATTGTAAGGACATAGATCTGATCTGCCTTGATTTTGCCAATTGTAGGGTAACAGACTCTCCAAGAGAGATACCAAGGTAGAAAGAAGGGCAATCTATGTCAGCGTGAGAATATATAGATATAGATATAGATATAGATATATGTAGATGTATTAGGGTTTATTAGGTTAATTGGGGGAGTGTGCTCAGGGGGCCAGGCAGGAAGACTGAATAGCCCACCCTTAGGCCAGGTTAGATATAGTTAGATAGACAGACAGATATCGGTACAGATAGATATCAATACAGATAGATAGACAGATATCAATACAGATAGATAGACAGACATACAGATAGACAGATAGATATCAGTAGAGATAGATATATAGACAGATATAGATATCAATATAGAGAGATAGATATTGATATAGACAGATAGATATTGAGATAGATAGATGTATAAATAGATATAGATATAGATACAGATATAGATATATAAACAGAACAAAGAAGGCACAGTGCCTGGGATGACTCCAGGTCATGTGCAACTACCCCATGGGATAGTTAGAGCTTCTTTTGATGTTTATATTCATTCAAGGTAGCTTACATTAACTGTGGAGTCATAGGTCCCGTTCTCACATTCCCACCATATAGAAATGGTTAAATTAAATCTTCAATTAATTTTAAAAACATATATAACTCTCACTTTAGTCATACATTTACACTTGGTTCTCATATCAATTATTGCTAATAATAATAACTAATATTTATAGAGCAGCCTGTGGTTTGCAAAATATTTTATGTGTATATACATTATTTCATATGACTAATCAGTTGAATTGTCCAATTTGAATTTTTATCTACTTCCCCTGCCTGTTTTTAGCGTTTATACTAACGGCCTATGAACTGATCAAAAATAGGGAGCTAGGGGGCACCACAGTGCATAGAGCGCCAGGCCTGGAGTCAGGAAGACTCTTCTACCTGAGTTCAATTCTAGCCTCAGACGCTCACTAGTTGTGTGACCCTGGGTAAACCACTTAACCTTATTTGCCTCAATTTCTTCATCTGTAAAATGAGCTGGAGAAGGAAATGGCAAACCATGACAGTATCTTTGCCAAGAAAAACCCCAAGTGGGGTCATAAAGAATCAGATACTATTGAAAGGACCACCACAACAAGTGTGAAGAGGTGAAGTAGGGGGCCGAGGTGACCCACTGCTGAATAGTCAACGTAGAATATTTGAGATGGGGGCAATTGCTGTGTAGTATTTTTCTCAGTCATCTTTTAAATGTGAAAAAAAATCAAACCCAACAACTTTTGGAATTGATCCAGGTTCAGTACGAGTAGTTATGAAATGCCCGTCCTATCCTCACAACTGTAGCACCATGCTGCCATCTGGTAGACTGTGGAGTAAGGACGCTGTGCTAGAAAACAGCCCTGCCCTCCAGAAGCCGGCATTCTCCTAGAATGTTCTAGGCATGTTGCAGAATATATTGTTGTTCTTTTTAATGTCTATCCTTTGAAATTTCCTACCTTCCGGAAGAGAGAAATCTCCATCTGAAAAGTCAGTGAAAATGCTCCCCCACTCTTCTTTTTAAAGCCATTCCAGGGGACTCTGTGATATAGTTGCTCCTTTAAACATTTTCCCAAATGAAAACTCATACAAAGGACCACCTGCCACTGGGCCTGAGGACAGTGCTCTTTTCTCAGATTTTCCCACTTAACATACTCCCAGCCCAGAATCTGCAAATCTGTAGCTGCCTTGACTAGAGGGGACCATCCTTAAGAGATAAGAAGCCTAGGACTTTTTAATGATCAACTTGCCATCTTCATCAGAGACATTTTGGCCATTTTTTTTTAGGCTTCTTCCCAAACCCAAAGTCCATCAAAGGAGGCCACAGAAGAGAAAGGTAGTCTGTACCTGACACTGTCCTGGATGGCAATCCGAGGTGCTGCACAGGTGGGTGGCATAGGCTTTAATCTTCCTTTGTACCCTCAGATCTGTAGTCAGCTCCTACCAGCTGCCAAGGAAACACAGTGCAGCTAGATAGTTACACAGGAGAAAGTGGAAGTCAGACTCCCTGGGATTTCTGCTGGTGTGAGGTTCTTCAGAATAGTTGAAAGTGACCCCATCTGAGCAGTGCCTTTAATCAGAACTCACCAGGCCTAACTCTGTTTGCTCCAACCTTTATTTAATGAAAGTTTCAGGAGATATTTGTGTGTGGATGTTTGATAGGAGGGCAAATATCAATCACATACAGAGGAAGTTGTCTATTTGAAATGATTTGTGCATTAATTAAATTGTCAACAACAATGACTTATTTGACTATGACTTGAATTTCGTGTCAAGGGGGTCAAAGCAGGCTTGCTAGTTTGTTCTTATTTTTTCCCCCTTAGAACACGATGCATACATAGGGTTGTGTTTTGTGATTCCCCTTTTCACAGATGGTTTGCCTGCCTATGTTTATAAAAATGTGCTGTGCATAAATATAGAATGGATTCTAAGTGATTTGTTAATTTTAGGCCAGTAAAGCAGCAAAAGCAGCTCAGAAGCTACTTGGACGAAAGAATATTTTGATGGAGAAAATTAAAATGGTCGTCTTGCAGAATATCCCGGAATTTGCTGTTGTGGACCTCACATCTACATATATAGATTATTTGACTGGTATGCTCATTTGTCAAATCAGTTTTCTATATAAGGCTGGGATATGTGATCACGTATCAGGGATTTGATTATACTTTAAAAAAATTAAGATCTGTAATGGCCTAGAGCTGGGGTTCTTAACCTTTTGGGGGGAGTCATAAACCCCTCTTTAGCAATCTAGTGAAGCCTCTGAACCATTTCTCAGAATAATTTTTAAATGCATAAAATAAAATATACAGGATTACAAAGTAAACCTATTATAGTGAAATATCTTTATCAAAGCATTAACAAAACAAGTTCATGGACCCCAGGTTAAGAATTTCTATTCTAAACTCAGGCTGAATCCGTTTTTCAGGTTCTCATTGAGGGATCCTTACTCTTTTTTTATGTACTGAATGAACCCCTCTGACAGTGTCTGGTAAAATCTTTGAACCCCTTCTCAGATTCATGTTTTTAAATGCATAAGATAAAATATGTAGGACTACAAAGAAACCAATTATATTGAAACAGTAAAATATTAAAGAAACACATTTGTGATATGACTATATATGCTTTTTTCTTATCACATTAAATAATGGGAAAATATATTTAAGGTATAGGCAAATTAAAGAGGCCAGTAACTGCAGTAATTTCTAAGTAGTGATCAGTTTAAACAATATTTTGACACATCTTCAACAAATGTAACATAGCACGAAAATACCTGTGATTTCTCTTGGTGACAAAACCACAGGTCCTGCCATGCTTCGTTGCCTATATTTATCATGGAAAGAAATGTTAAATTTCAGTTAGAGGTTAGGGAAAAATAAGGTTGTAATATTTTCTCCATACAAGTTCACAGACCTCCTGAAATCTAAGAGCCTCTGGCCTGAGGGAACTTGGAAAGGAAGAACACAGAGCTTGGTCATAAGAATCAGAGGATTCTGTTTCCTAGATTCCTGCTGTTGAAAACTACATGGAATAGCTCTAATCTTTCCACATACCACTTGTCTAATACTTAGTGACCACTATCTCATCCTTCCTAAATCTAGGCTGTAAATTCCCAATTCCTTCTACTGTATCTTAGTTAACATTGTATTTCCAGATCCCTTGCCTTTTAGATGTTAACCAGTTTGTCAGTGGCCGTCATAACGCCCTGTATTCTAAATGTCTGGCTATCAAAAAGTACAGTAGGACTATAACCATATTTACTGGGGACATGAATTAAGGGAAACACATTAGCAGAAAAGAAAGGTCAGGAGACTGGCTTTTTATTCAGAGCAATCCACGTAGAGAGAGGTGGAAGGTGGGGTCCAGCGAGTCATGTATAAATCAGCAATGGCAAAAGGATTATTTGTGCGGGAGTAAAGAATCCAGTCAAGCCTAATGATAACTTCCTCCCTGCATGAGATATGCCAAAAAGTTTCAGCTGGTTCCCTAAGTTGGAGCTTATAAACACAGCCATGAAGACACAGCGATTCGGGCATAATGGACCACCTTCCAGTTCAGTTCAAGAAATGCTCTTCATAGGAGTCCAGGGTGTAACCGAAGGTAATGAACCCATTACTCCTGAGAAGATGAATTTACTTGAGAGCGTTACTTTATCAACACAATTATTCATGTTTGCCACACTCACTAAGGTGATGGTTCTTAACCTGGAGTCTCTTGTTTCAATTTTTTACAAAGTTTGATCATTGTTTTTCAGTATAATTGTTATTCGTTGTATTTTATTTTATTTGTTTAAAACCATCAATCTGAGAAAGAGTCCATAAGCTTTACCGGGCCTCCCAAGGGGTCCGTGACACAACACAGGGTTAAGAGTTTCTGTTTTAGAGCCCTAAAAATGTTAACACTGGGCATTTTTTTTTTACTTTTTTTAATTTTTTGGCAATTGGGGTTAAGTGACTTGCCCAGGGTCACACAGCTAAGAAGTGTTAAGTGTTTGGTCTGAGGCTGGATTTGAACTCAGGTCCTCCTGACTTCAGGGCCAGTGCTCTATCCACTATGCCACCTAGCTACCCCAACACTGGGTATTTTTAAAAATGAAAGGACATTGTGCTTTAAAGAGAGAATATAGGTAAACTAGACTATGGTGAAATAGCCATTGTAGTAATAATTGCCTTAAATTTTGCAAAATCCTTTACATACATACTACATAATGGCCCATGAGGGCAGAGCATGCTTTGATTTCTTTTTTAGCTCAAAGCCTTGATCCGTGTATAACACAAATGGACTAACTTGTCATTTTCAACCCTTCTGGAGTCATGGTGCCCTGTTACTTGTTTGATGTTTGAAAGCCCACATGCTTATTCACATAAGCCAGGAGGATAGGTATCCTGAATTGATGAGTCCATGCAGAGATAGATTTTTAATACTTTAGGGACCTGTGATCTTGTGGGGTCTCCCTTCTGCCAATTCAGATCTCAACCTTTCTGTGTCGGAGTAAACGGTCTTTTTGGAAAAAAAATATTCATCAACAAACACAGACATTTCAATATACAAAACAAAGAACAATTTTCAATGCCAAAAACAATCGTAGAAAGAACAACTCTGAAAAACTTCAATCCTGGTAAATAATCATAGCTAAACCATTTGCCCCCTGCAGCCAGCCTGGTAATGAGCCTCCTTCCACTCATGCACTGTTGAATTGGCACAAAGCTTTTCCACCATATTATAAATTTTTTGGGGAGTAAAGAGTCCTTGCAACCCTGACAATAACGCCCTGACTTCTTTAAATAGGCCAGAAAGTTTCGGCGGGTTTCCTAAGTTGCATCTTATCTACCCAGCCCTGAAAGCCACAGCAACCCAGCCATAGCGGGCCACCTTTCAGTTCCTTTAGATTTAGGCCTTTCTGGTGTGCAGTTCATTTATGTAGGTCGATGTTCCTTACCATTTGAACTTCCAGTTAGTAAAATGATCATAATTTTCTTTAAATAGTGGTAAGTAAAATGATAATAGGTTTCCCCTACCCCCATAATTGAAGCTATTACCAAAGAATATAAGCATCTTTTGGGATGAAATAAATGAGTTCTGGAAGTTATTTTTAATAAAAACAAAGTCATACTAGAACATTGACTTTTTATTTATTTATTTATTTGTTAGCTAGCTATAAAGCTGTCTTCAAGTCCCCCTTTTCCTCTCCGAGCCAATCTGATAACATTCCGGACAATTCAAGTTTGGAACAAGATCTTGAAACCACTGATAATGAAGAAAGCGAAGAGCGGAATGAGCCAGATATCTCCTGGGTCCATCTGGTCTGTTACTACACTCAACTGTTAAGAGTTAACAACATGAACACCCTGCTTGGTAAGCTATGGGGACAGGGCAGTGGTTTCCTCGGAATTCTTCCTGATTCCCATTCTTAGCTGACCCCTCACTCATGGCAACAAGAAATATAATAACAGCAAGTGTGAATGAAGCCTCACAGCACATTTTTCTCATCTGATCCTTACTACAACCCTGGAAGTTAGGTGTTATTATAATGCCTATTTTGTAGATGAGGGAACTGAGGCTAAGTGAGATTCAGTGAGATGCCCAGAGTCACACAGCTAGTGAGTGACTGAGGCAAGATTTGAACTTGGGTCTTCTGGACTCCAAACCCAACACTCTTTCCATTGGGACACCTAGCTGCCTACTAGCAAGTCCCTTTGAGGAAATAAAGAAATCTAAGGTTTAATTTGGGTGGGGGACTCCCATTGTGGAATTCTCTTCACCAGATTTCATACTGTGACATATAAAAAGTTCAAGAGACATAATCTCTGGGTAATTAATCATTTTATTAATTATGCTAGCAGATAATTAATAAAAGGGTCATTTGGCTGTCTCTCCTAAACCAAAGACCCCTCATGGAACCCACTCAATGCTTACATGCACTTGGAAGAGTGAGTATTCCTAAGGGTGGAAATCAACAAGTAATGAGAGAATGAATATTATAATGAGAGTGGGCTTATTGTGGTGAGGGTCTGGGGGATGTGACTGATCACTTAGTATTAGTCAAAGACACTTAGCTAGACCCATGTCACCCCTTCTAGGGTAATCTAGACAAAACTCAATGGGCCTGAATCTACCAATTCACCTAAATTAGAATTTCTTTACTTTTTGATCATATCTAAGTATTTCATCTCATTATCAGCCCTGTACTTCAAAGGCTGCCTGAATAACCTATAGGGGCTGATTTCTGAATGAGGATATGGAAGAGGGGAAAAACTTTAGTCCTAATTCAGTAATTGGTTATTAATATAAGAAAGAAATAATAATTTCTCTCAAGACCAATAATTTTTCTGTAACTTGTGGTCTTAGAGGATTGTGATGGTCACTGAGTGGTTAAGTGACCTATTCATGTATGAACAGTTAGTATTTGTCAGACAGAAGAAGGACTTTACCTCAGATTGCCCAAGGCCAGACTTCTGTCTGCTACACTATTTGCCTCTAGATAACAGTGCAAATGTAAGGATGTCATGTTCTCAGTTAATTTATACCCAGCACCGTGTTAAAACTTCATGCCCACTCAACCTTGTAAAACAACAGAAATACATATTATTAGATGTGATATTTCCCTCTAATGGTACCCATTTCTTTTAAATTAATATTCCTTAAGTAGCATCTAGAAATGATCATCTTAGACATTATCTTAACCGATTTACATTAGCCTGTTTCCCAGATCTTGTAAGAATATGCGGTGTCACTCTTGCCCATAAATCAGTGCTAAGGTTTAGCTGATGATCAGGGTTAGGAACTCAGATTGGGGGCGGCCACCCCAGACCAAGAGCCAGCGACGGGATAGACAAGCAAGCCAGAGAGGCAAAGCCAGACACCAAGAGTGAGAGCCATGCCTCTAGGAGGCCAGCGGCAAGCGATATATCTAGGAACCAGCAAGACGCTACCAAATGAAGGGCTCATGTATCAGGACAGTATGAAGTCTCAGACAAGGAGTCTCTAGCTATTCGACGTACAAGGGAATACCAAGTTGATAAAACACCCATGGGTGAAGAGGGCTGAAAGCAGTTCAGTGATCTATCTCCCGACTTTTCTACTGTTCCCGCTTGGCAGGAGACAATTCTGTTGGATCTGGCGTAGGCCCTGTTAGTGCCGGGGCTGGTCGATCTACCCTGAAGCAGGTAGAATAGGAGTGGGGTTGGGAAGGAAATTTTCCTGCTGGGTTAAGTTTAGCCATCCAGATGCCCTCCTTTATGTGACCATTCCATTAGCAAATGCATCACCTATTTAAAGTCTTTTTTTTTTCTTTTTTAAGCTTCTCCAAAGCCAGTTTTCTTAGCAGATGAAGTATTCCACACTTCTGTTTTCAATGAAGATCTGATTTTACGTCACAAAGAATTGCACGGTTTCCTCAAAAAATTCTTACGTGTTTTTACGCCAGCCTGTATTGAGCCATTTCCAAAAGACCTTCCTCTTGGGGTAGAAAAATCATTCAACGAAAAATTCCCACGTAGGGAACCACTTAAGGTACTAATTGTTTAAAAAACAATCTTTATGTTCCTCATTAGAACCGGGAGAACTCTGGCAGGTGCCAGGAGACCTTATTATTCATTTCTGAGAAGTATCAAGGTCCACCCTGGAAGTCTCGAGTACCCTCCTCCACCTCCCTTTTCTAGCTTCTTGCTATGTGTTGTCTCCGCCATTAGACTGCAAGCTCCTTGAAAGCAGGGGCCATCTTTTGCCTTTCTTTGCATCCCTAGTACTCAGCACAGTGCCCGGCACATAGGAGGTGTTAGTTAAGTGTTTATTGACTGACTGACTCTATTGTGTCCTAGGTCACTAGACTGAGAGTTAGGAAAACTGGCTCGACACCGTGACCCTGGTCCTGTGCCTGAGTTTCTGAATCTGTGATGATTATGCCTCCTCCTTCTACCTGAACAAACAAGACCGTAGACTCATAACTCCGGAGCTAGAAAGAGCCTCAGAGGCCAAATGATCCAAACCCTATCCCTTTACAGATGAGGAAACCGAGGCCCCGTAGCCCTAAGTGGTTTGCCCAAGGTCACACCGGTTGTATCAGAGGTGGGGTTTTAATCCAGGACCTTTGACTCCAGAAGTGTCCTTGAGCTGTGTGTTGAAGGGAGTTGTTGAGGGTGATCAGTAAAACCATATGGTCATAGGGTGATAGATTTACAGCTTGAAGGAACCTCCCAGGCCGTCTGGCCTGAGCACCCCACTTTACGAGATGAGGAAGTTCAGGCCCAGTGAGGTGGTTGAGATGCCCAAGGTCATGTGGGGAGTAAGGGTTGAAGCCAGGGCTTCTGGATGATAGATCTTCTTTTCTATCTCCTTTTGGTGGGCGTAAAGAGCGTGGGATTGTATTTGTTAGACCACGGGGACCTGGGCAGGTAGTGGAAGGAAGGCTCTAGGTAAGTCACGTCCCCTTGGACCAAGCTGCCTTCCCTGCCTTCCCTGCCTTCCCTGTGCCCTGTCACAACCTGACCCCAGTTGTCTCACTCCACATCCTTCAGGTACTCTACGATCCCGCGACACCGGCCTCCTTGGGGCTCCTCACACAAGATCCTCCGTCTCCCAACTCGAGGCCATAGGTTTCCCACTTCTGAAACTCTGTGGGCCTCAGTTTCTTTATCTGTATAAAAAGGGAGTTGGATTAAATGACCTCCAAGGTCTCTTCCAGCTCTTGTGATTTCTGAATTCCATGAACTCCAAGTTAATACTGCATGTCTCCCAAACCAACAAAACTACAAACCAGACATTCTGCACCACTCCCCTACCCTTTCCCACTGCCCAAAAAGTGAAGGAAGGAAGAATGTTGTGTCTTTGGAGCTTTTCCCACAGAAAGGTTAAAGGGAACAATTAGACAAAATAAAGTCACTGAAAACTTTGTAGAAAGAAGTTGTTTTAAAGGACATCTAGTAAGGTCTCTGAATAGGGAGCAGAGGAGCAGTGCTTGAAGGTGTAGCCACGTCATATGTTTATAAACATTTCTCCTATGCACCTGCCTCCTGCCAGTTATGAAGTGCATGACACGTTCTCATAAAATATAAAATCCTGTTCTATCAATATTATGTTCAGCATATATTTTTCTGAAAGTTGGAAAATCTCTCGTTTGCTCCAAGGAGTTTTTTTTAGATTTTGGACCTAATGCCTATTAGACAGACTGTAAGTTCCATTAAGGCAGGGACAGGACTTTATCTAAATTTTGTAGCTCCCCCAGTACCTACTACAGTGCTCTGCACAATTCCATACATATTTGTTCATTTTATATAGATCTACTTATGACAGCTAGAATGCTTTTTTCCCCCTCAAACAGCTATATAATACAGTGCTGTGCCGAGCCTAAAGTCAGGAAGAACTGAGTTCAAATCCAGCCTCAGACACTTACTAGCTGTGTGACCCTGGGCAAGTCACTTAACCTCTGCCTCTGTGTCTTCAACTCTTAAAATGAGCATAATAATAGTACATACCTCCCAGGGGCTGTTGTGAAGATCAAATCAGATAATATTTGTAAAGCACTTAGCATAGTACCTAGCACATAGTAGGTGCTATTTAATAAAGACTTTTCCTTCCTTCCTTCTTTCCTTCCTTCCTTCCTCTTTCCTTGCTTCCTTCTTTCCTTCCTTCCTCTTTCCTTCTCCTTTCTTCCTCTTTCCTTCCTTCTTTCCTTCATTCCTCTTTCCTTCCTTCCTTCTTTCCTTCATTCCTCTTTCCTTCCTTCCTTCCTTCTTTCCTTCATTCCTCTTTCCTTCCTTCCTTCCTTCCTTCCTTCCTTCCTTCCTTCCATCCATCCCAGGAAAAGCATGGTTTTTAAATGTTGCTAACTCTGCCATCCATTTAAAAACTATTCTTTAGTAAATGGAGTAGATTGTCAATATGAAGTTGAGGGATTTTTTAAATCATTCATTCATTCAACAAATATTAAGCAATTTGCATGTGCCAGATGCAGTTTTGGGCCTTGGGGGTACAAAGACAAAACAAAACTGAAAAACCCCCAAATTCCAACTTCTGTAAGAAGCTTTTCTTTGTCTCCTTTAATGCTAGTTCCTTCCCTCCGAGATTCTGTCCAATTTATCTTGTATATATTTGTTCATCCATTATTATTTTCTCCTCCAGTTAGAATGTGAGGTTTTTGAAGACAGGGACTGTTTTTGCCTTTCTGTGTACCTGCTTTGCTTTGACGTAGTGATTGGTTGATTGAAATCAATCCCTGCCCTCACTGAGCTTACATTCTACAGAGGGAAAACAATATATGCATGAATAATAGAAAATAGATAAAATCTGTTTTGGGGGAGTAGGGTACTAGCACCTGAGGGGAATCAGGGTTGGCCTCTTGTAGGAAGTAGCCCTTGAGCTGAACTTCGAAGGAAACTAGGTGTTTTATGAGAGGAAACTGAGGAGGGAATACATCCCAAGCTTGGGGATGCCCTGTACAAGGGAAAAGAGATACTAAAAATTGCTAGCATTTATATATCCAGTTAAGATTTGTAAACTGCCTTACACATTAACTTATTTGATCCTCACACCAAGCAGTGAGGGTGGTACTGTAATGGGAATTTTAGATTTTAAATTTCTTTTTGTTAATTTATATTATTTGGGGCTTAGGGCCATTCTTTCTGCAGCTTCTGGTTGACTGAAAGCCTGTCTTCTGTTAACCTTAACCTTAAATTAACCTTAAATTAAATTAATTAAATAAAAATTAAGTTAAATTAATTAAATTAAATTAAATTAACCTTACCTGACCAAAATCTGTCTCTGAAAGGCAAATAGGGTCACACCCTATAAGTGTCTGAGGTCAGATATGAACTCAGGGAGATATGTCTTCCTAACTCCAGTCCTGGCATTCCCGTAACAGTGCTATTATTATCCCCATTTCGCAGATGGGGATGTTGAAACCATGAAAGGTCAAGTGACTTGACACAGCTAGTGAGGGTCTGAGACAGGAGCTCCAGCCATCCTGACTCCCAATTCAACCTTCCATCCTCTGTACCGCCTTGATGCCCTGTGAAGGGGAGATGGAATCCTCACTATGGGAGAATTTAAGGAAGGTTAAGAATTCATCTGAAAGATCCATTCTTCTGAGCATATGTCTCAAAGTTGGGAATTTCTCCGAACCTTTCAAATCCTGCTCTGAAAGCTGCTGCGCTTGAATATTTCGGAATGGAGGACAACCTATCATTACCCAGTTCCTGAGGATGAGGCACCACATGTGCAACCTTGAATAAATTGTAAATATCTGTGACAATTGTAACAGCAGCCATGTATCAAAGAGTTGTTTCACTCTGTTTGCTCCTCTTTTGATATAATTAGTATAACACTCTCCTAGGATAATCAGCTTGGGAGATCACTGTCATATGCGTGACAGGTGCAAGCAGTGTAATCATGTGTTAGTTTCACTGGTGTAGACAGCTAACAAGCGGAAAGCTTTTTGGATTTTTTTTCATCAACTCTAAGCTTCGTTGATTTTTGTAATAACTTTTTTTTGAGACTTTGATCACTCAGGAAGCTATTTCAATCAAACCCTTTCTGTAATTGGATACTTAAACCTGCTCCCCCCCACCCCCACCCCACCCCCAGCACAAAGCGGTAATGACTTTTTCCAAAAAGAACATTGTTTTGTGTTCACCAGCTCCCATCTTCTCTGTATGTCTGCATATTTTTGAGTCTATTGAAGCTTTATGATGGAGAAACAAAGGTGCCAAACAAATGATATTAACCGTTCCAAAAGAGAATGTAATTAAAATCCGGTAGGCTGCTGAAGTATTCTTGCCTAGATTTCACAACCGTCTAGTGACGGTTCCCTGGGGGGAGGTGGGGAGGGGGAGGCCCTTGCCGAGGTTGCATTGGAGATTGGAGAGAATTGGGGTTAAAGTTAGATAAAGGCTAATAAATGCAAACCACACACTCTCTCTACTGTGTTGATTGGGACTGGAGCTGCTTGACTTTCAAAGACTAAAAAAAGCCTATTAAAAGTAACTGCAACAGAGCCCATTAATTCGCACTACCTTAAACTCATTAGTAACAATAGCTTGCATTTATATAGGTTTACAAAGCACTGTACTAAGTTAACTTCTTTGCTCTCTATAATCAGTCCATAAACTTTTGCCTATTATGTGCCAAGCACTGTGGTAAGAGCTAGGGCTATCGGGCAGGTAGGTGGCACTGCAGTGGATTTAGTGGTAGGCCTGGAATGAGGAGGACCTGAGTTCAAATCTGGCCTCAGACACTTACTAGCTGTGTGACCCTGGGCAAGTCACTTAACCTCAATTGCCTCCAAAAATTAATTAGTTAAAAAAAAAAAGAACTAGGCTTACAAAGAAAAGCGTAAGACAGTTGCAGCCCTTGAGGAGCTGACAGTCTAACGGAGGAGACAACATTCAAACAACACACAGACAAGCTATACGTAGGATCAATTGGCGATAATCAACAGGGGGAGTAAGGGAGATTGGGAAAGGCTGCTTGGAGAAGGTAGGATTTTAGCTGGAACTTGAAGGAAGCCATTATTACCCCCATTTTACAGATGAGAAAAGTAAGACACCCGGAGGTGGAGTGACTTTGCCAGTGTTAACACGAGAAGTAGGTATTTGTAGTAGGATCTGAACTCAGAGAGATCTTCCTGATTCCAAGTTGAATCTTGTTATTTTCAATTTAATGGAAAACGATGGGCCTGAATTGCTTTTGAAATTACAATTCATTGTTCCACTTCCAGGCTAGCAGCCCTTTCGTGTGTGGGCTCGCGGTTTGACTGTTGTTGTCTTTTAAACGTATCTGGACATTTGATGAATATCTCAACAGTTAGTGGATTCAGTGTGGGCCAACTGTAGAGAAATGGGCTATTTTCCCGGATCGTAACTGATATGGGATCCTTTTAACGGCCGGCTCAGGAGTGAGTTGGCTGGCACCATATTGCCTTGATTTGCAAAATTGTTTAGGGGCCATTTAAGAGTTTAATCTTCTTCCTGTCACTCCTGGGTCCCACTTTCATCTTTCTGCTGCTTAGTTAGGCAAAGGTCTTGAATGTTACAGTCTCTTTTTCTGACAGTTCCTTAAGATCTATTTTTGACACATTTCCACATTCAATACGGTAGCTCTCCGTCAAAGCATTTTTCATCTCACAGGCCGACAACTTGAAAGGTCAGCGTCTGTATTTCCATTTTTTATTTGAGGCCTCACACCCACAGTGCTGTCTGTATCTTTTTCCTGAATAGGCAGCGGGATAATGTGAGGGATAACAGAACCACACCAGGAGTGCCCACCTGAAGCCCCTTCTCAGGCTGGACACTTAACCCTGAGATGCATCAGTTTGGGTAGATTTGAAAAATGCTACTTACAAATACCCTCCTTTCCTCCTCCCACCCCCAACAAGGAGTAATTTCACAAAGCCCTCTGAATGTCGTTGAGGAAGGTCTTTATGAAAGAATGGAGAGTATTGTTGGACGTTATTGTAGGCCCTCTGATCACCCTGTTTCTCCGGGCTGATATTTAACACTGTGTGGTGCCCTTGTAGGTCTCAGAGAACCCAGTGAATTATTTATGGCAACGCCAATTTGACCCCACACATTTGTGTTTCTCCACCAATACTGATTCCAGGCTCATGTTCCCTAAAGGAAGCTGTAATTCTTTGATAGGCTGAATGTCCCTGGATTCACCCCAGCCAGTGATCACAAATCAGCCACGAAGTTAACAAGAGCAACACGCCATAACCCCTAAGAGCAGAATGCTATCTCTTGCGTATGGGGTACAAAATCTACAGAGTCATGGATGCTACTGGCACCAAGCGACTCATACATTAGGAAAAACTTGCCAGTCTGTCCATTGGTGGATGAGCCATGAAGGGCATTTTTCTGGAGCTGTGGTGCTATCCATATGGAAAAGGACCAGTTGGGCCTCTCCCTCCCTGCCCCTCTCCCAATCCCCTCTCCAGACATCGTCCTCAAGGTCTGATTAATTCTCCATAAAGGGAGGCATTTGCTAAGTGATTCCTTTCTTTCTATTCCAGAGTTTTGATTGATTGGGTTTTTTCTTTTGTTTTGTTTTTGATGGTTGGGGCCTTCTTGGGTGGGGTGTCAATCTAGGTGCTGTTGATATTGTAGGACACAAGGACCTACCTTTTTTCCCAGCCTGAGAAAATTTCTAAAGTTTCCAGGGAGCTAAGTGATCATTGCTTCTTCTCTATCCCAAGTTTATCAGTCTACTTCTAAATCCCCACTATGGGGAAAATATTTCAAAGTGCTGGTAGCTCAAGGCCATGGAGGTCTGATTGCTTTCTATAAGAGGCCAAACCAAAGGGAGATTTTTCTGCACACATTTCTTCTGGAGATTTTTTTTTCCCAGGAGTCCTAAATTTGGAGGCATAAAAACTGGGTTTGAACACCAGCCCTGGGCCACAGTCTCCTCATCTATGAAATGAATAGATTGGATCAGATGACCAATTGAGGTCCCTTCCAGTTCCAAGGCTATATCCAATGGCCCTAAAGTGCCTTGTATTCATGAAATGCTATATAAATGTCAGATAAGGCTCAGAGGACTAATTGCAGAATCTTAAAGTGTTAATGATTATTATGGTTGTTATTATTATTACCTGAAAATTGATGCCCCAAGATATTTCTGATGAATGCTTGGCTCTCCCACAATTGAGAGCAGGGAAGAACAATAAAAGGTACTTTCATTAGGACTGGACTCAGTGACCCCTCAGGTCATCTTTAGGATCCCAAGATCCCACTAAAACTATTATCCTATCGTTTTATTTTTGCTTTATTTTGTTTTTATTTTATTTTTGTTTTCTAACACTGACGACCTCTCCCTAACAAGGACTATGACAATAGAGCTTTTGGTAGTTTCCATATGAATATTAACACCATGCTGGGAAGCAGTTGATTCGGTATTTTGGTGGCCAATTCTAGCACCATGGTCATCCTGAACACTGAGAGAGGTAGCCTGCTAAAGTCGGAATCACAGGACCTGGATACAAATTCCAGTTCTGCTGCCCATCGGCGACGTGCTCCTAACCTCTTTGGGCCTCCATTTTTTCATCTCTCCAATAGGGGGAGATAAAAGAGATGATCTCTGGGGTCTCTTCAAGTTCTAAATCTGTGATCCTAGGAAGTTCTAGGATCTAGTTACTTCATTGGCTGTGTGGAAGTGAAGGTCTTGGCTTTCGACAAATGTGAAAGCTCAGTTGCCTTAAAAAATAAGCTCTTATAGCTCCCTGTGTTGTGTAGAAAGGGTACTTTTTATTTGCAGTGGGAAAAGGAGCTATGCTGCAACAAAGAAACAGAAAATTGTTCATTTAACTTTTTGAGTGTTTGAAGCGTTCACAGGCATTAACCAAACCAGAAAAAGTACACACCCGGCTAGAAAGTGGAATATTTATTTTAAATAACCTAAAGGAGTAGAGAAACTAGTCTTCCCCTGCTCCCCGTGACAACTATTGCTTTCATAATGAATACTACAAATTACAAGCAGATTTAACTGGCAGTTTTTGCAAATATGGCAAAATGGTGGTGATGGGATAGGCTTAGCAGAGGTGCAGCCTTCCAGGAGGAAAGAAACATACCCTAGAATTCTCCGATGTTTCTGAACTAAGAGGGGAGAGAACTCACTCTAGGACAAAACCCTGATCATCTCTCCCTTGTTACAGCTCTGCTTATAAGGATTAACTCATAGTGTGTCAAAAATACAAGCATAATAAATCAGCAGCAAAATATAAATGAGGAAGCTTGATATGCCTGGCCCCAGCCTTGCAGTGTTCGGAACCCAAACAGTTTAAAAGTTATAATTCTATCTCTGTTATTGAGAATTGGTTAATAATATTGATTTCCAGAAAACAGAAAAAGTGATTCTGAGTTTGGGTTTCCTAATACAATGGATGATAAATGGATTCTCTTCCACAAGAAGCCTTTTCAGACCTCTATAATGCTAATACCTTTTCTCTAAGATAATCTCCAATTTATCCTACCGATATCTTGTCTATCTGTAGTCACTTGCATGGTGTCTCCCCTTTGGATTCTGAGCTCCTTGAGGGTAGGGACTCTGTGTGTGTGTGTGAGACTTTCTTTGTATTCCTGGTGTTTACAATGGTGCCTGACACATAGTAGGTTCTTAACAAATGATTGTTGACTTCTCAAGTTTTATGCTGGGCAGAGAAGGTTGAAACCTCTAAGTTTTGATTCTCAGCTGCATTTTCATGGCATATCAATGGAGGGTTCTAATGAGGAAACTCATGAAAAATATAGATTGTAATTTCAATGAAACTTCCTTTTTCTATATTAGACTTGTTCACATATAATACTTAGGGGATGATTGGGGATATAGGGGAAGTGGTGCAGAAAGGAAGTTTCAGGTGAAGTTATTCTTGCAAAATAGGAGACAAATCAACATAATATGACAAGTCTAACTGTTTTCAAATGTTGGAGTGGGAGGGATGGCCGGGAGTGTGACAAAAAGGGAGAAGAATCTCTAATTGATCCCTTTCTTTCAACAGATGGATCAGGAAATATCTGTGTTAGTAGAAAAATTTGCAGCCTCTAAGAACTCCCTAACTCCTCCAGACTTAACAGATTTTGCTGTATATACTATAAGCAAAGATCTTTGCTTTCAGTGGTACCTACCCCCTCTAGAAAAGTCTCCAAAGGAAACAGAACCTATGGTAAGCTAACACAATGTTTTGTTGTTGTTATTGTTGTTTTAAACACACTATCTCTTAAAGACAATGGCTTTTAAAATTATAATTTTCTAATAATATATGCAGCCTATTAAATCATTTGCAACATTATACGGGGAGACTCAGGAGATTTCTGGGCCACCCTGTACTTTAGAAATTGAATTTAAATTTAAAACAAAGCTATCTTTAAATCAATGGATTGGAGGGATTAATTTTTTTTCCTGTAAGACATCATTTATGATTTGCTCAATATTTTTTTGAAATTATGTTTTGACAGTACACATTCTCTCTTTGCTATTTTATTAATCTGAAAATTTTCTATTTTCATATTCATCATATTGATAACATTTATTCATTTCACTTAGGTTTTCCATTTTTTGGGCACATACTTAGTCACAATAGTTTCTAATGCTTTTCTTTATTTCCTCTCCATTCTTTGTAATTCCTTCTCATTTTTTTTTGTTTTGATAATTTGGTTGTCCTTTGGAGGGGGCAGGAAATGGGGAAGATCAAATTAGTCATCCGTTAAGCCTTTATTGAGGTCCTACTATGTGCTAGGCACTGTACCAAGCTTTAAGAGTATAAATAAAGGCAAAAAACAGGGTCCTTGCTCAAGGAGCTCATAGTCTACTGGGGGAGACAACAAGCAAACAATTATGTTTAACAAAAGATATTCAGGATAAATTGGAACTGAAGGAAGGCACTAGCATTAATGGTGATTGGGAAAGACTTTCTATAGAAGGCAGGATTTTGTTTTTGTTTGTCCTTCATTCTTGAAGAGGACCATGACGTCAGGGGGGTGATGCCATGACATGTACAAGTGAATTGGATTTAAGTGAGGGAGGGCTGTGCAAAGTCACCAGCCTTACCTCCTCCTCTAGGGCCATCTGGGTCCAGTGGTCAGATATGGATCATCTGGATGACTGGAGATGGGGCTTGAAGGAAGCCAGGGAAGCCAAGAGGCAGAAATAAGGAGGGAGAGCCTTCCAGGCATGGGGGACAGCCTGTGAAAATGCCCAGAGTTGGGAGCTGATTGTGCATTTTATTAGTCATTGCAAAAAAGATAGCTCTCAGTTTTATCTCAGTAGCCATTTTATTTTTAATCTTCATCTTTTTTCTGATTTTCAGAATTTCATTTTTTTATTTGTGGATTGTTGATCTTTCTTTTTTTCTTCCTTCCTTTCTTTCTTTCTTTCTTTCTTTCTTTCTTTCTTTCTTTCTTTCTT